TGAATGCAACATCAGCCACAGCATGAGGCAATTACATACATATAAATACCCATACGCTCATTCACTGTGTTGAGACATGTATTTTTTGTACATATTGATCACACTATGTTAGCTTATCTTGATCGTGCCTGTAAAAGTCTGTCTCGCATTGTCGAGCGTAAGATATTATTTTTTAAATTTATAGTTCGATTCCTCTGACGGCGGTTTACATTTGCTGGCCGATTAATTCGCACTCGATTCTTCCATTCTACGGAAAGGTCAAATGTCGTACAACGCCCGTGCTGATGATCTTTGCGTATAACTGAGCCTACGTGCTGCGCTTACGTCTCTATTATTCGATTCCATGCTTACCGACCTATTTGTTCACCATTGCGCGAAGAATATTCTTTTCGATTAATCTCATCAGTCATTTACAATAATATAACAGACTTAGAATACCGATTGGCTAATGTAACCTTAGTGTCTATTGGAAGAAACCTCGAAGTATATGCACCCTATTGGTTTGACATGGCTGCTCGGATAACGGTTAAAGGCAAACAGATCAGCGATGACAAATGCTGGTCGCCTGTGATGTTTAAATTGAGGAAATCTCACCGGAGGGCGTTCATGGCCAAGGTAAAATCAGGGTTTACATCAGAGTCCGTTGTGTGCGCAGTTCTGGTTTCAAAGCTCTGATTGCAATGGGCTTGGCTGTGGTTGACAAACATTGCCTGAGTCCTTGGGAGTATCATTTCGGTTTAGTATATATGACTTTGAATGAGTCATTTACTTAAGTCATGTTCCGTTTCAACCAAATGCTCGAGTCTCGAACTATTGATGTTCCTTATGGTGCATTTTCGTAGCGACGCAGGACAATGTTCAGTGATCTTTTTTAAACAGGCGCCCGGTCGTATGTACGAGTTACCTTGCACCACAGGTGCGAGTGAATTGATATAGGATGAATGATTTGAACCGGACCGGGAATCCATCCTTCAGGCGGTGAGAAATTGGCGATCTAGTTTCGTCAAGCTATTTAGGCTTGGCTTCTGGGAATGTCCGAGCCATTGCAATCAAAAGTTTTCTCCTCAAGTGCTCAAAAGCAATGTCTGTGAAGCTACCATTGGCAGCATTGTTTTGTCTGGCTTGAAGAAGCTTTTGTGTCAAGGGCGAAACATATCAACAAAACAAGCCAATAAGGTTTGAGGTCTGTTATCTCTACCTTATGCGATCAAACAAAGTCGGGCGGGAAACCCCCAATCTCCTTTTGCGTTCTTCGTCGTGACCAGGTGGTTTAGGGGTAGCGATCACAACTAACATCCCAATGGTCCCCGGTTCGAGGCTTGCTATCACCACCTGATTATATCAAATCACACGGAAACGCGTCTTGGGGTGCAGTGTTTTCGGGCTGGCAACACGCAATTTCCTCCTGTTTCATCTACGGCTCTAGTGATCGAATTGATCAAGCTTCGTTTCAAAGCGAATCGCAGTCTACATTGAGATTGCGTCTTGAGCTCCAATCACAACGTGCACTGCGTATTATTAATGTAGATGGGAGTTGAAGTGACAAACATGTTCCGACTTATTCACACGATTGTTGTCGCGTCACAGGTTGAATACGCGACGGATAGCCAGGGACGACTCATTGTCTACAAATTGTTTGTGCACACATAGGGAAGGCGGTCGAAACGGATTACGATCGCCTCTGCGACTACAAATATGCGGCATCTGATCACTTTGGAGCGGACTCCTCTCACGCGGTAGATCGGGCGGAAGGCCTTTTGATGACAATCGAGTTATTAGTATCGGCCACATGTACGACAATCGCAATGGCCCAGCTTTTGTTTACTCTACAATCCAACCACTGGACGATGTTCTCGCACGCTTTCGGCTGAATGTCTTTTAGTGCGGCCTACGTAGCTTGTCCCGCAGGAACTAGTTTGTTCCCTTACAGCCCATCTTTTCTCCTCGTATCAACTAATTCTCTGAACTCACACGCAGCAAATCGTCTTGCGTTTAGCGTAATTTGAGCTGCTACTGCAGCCTTGGCTGATCGTTATGCTAGGGCATTGTTCGCGCCTGCCAGCTATTGACACCTACGCCTGTCTGATTGGAACACACCACTACCGACCTCCCGTTCATCTTATCCGATCATGTCAGGATTAGCTCCATATGACACAACTATACACCACAAGATCTTTGCATACAGCCCAACGGTACATTTCTCTGATCCTGTGTTCTTCTGGATGCTTCTTAACGAAAGATAAAAGCGCTAAGCAGTTATCATAGTCAGTTACCTCCACCTCATTTCGGACTACGCTGAAATTAGGGTGGACAACCCGCGCCATCAACACAATTACTGAACACTCCTACACGATGCACTCGAGTATGAGTGCACCCATTATAATAGGCTCAAATGTCCAATCAGTTATGAGAAAAATGGATGAGATTAAAAGCAAAATTCACTATCGCAAATATTCGAAGCTTGGCGTAAGTATACTTCAAGAGATGTGGCTTCATGAAGATGTGGATGATGAGGTTGTAATGATCGAGTGATTCATTTGCCATCATGTCGACCGGTCAACCACATACAATAGCTACGGCAGAGGTGTTATCACTTATGTCAATCCTGGGTGTTGCACGTCAACAAGAAGTTGGTTTCGCTTTCTTCTTCTTCAATGATTAACTGTCATTTGGAAATGTAAATCAAGATGTTTAAGTGGCTACCAACCGATTTTACTTGCAAATATCTACATTGCCCCTAATTGTCCCGCATCTGAGGCCGAGGAACTTTACGATCAGTTTATTTAAAGTGTCATCAACCACGTTGATTCTTCTCTTTGCTGGTGATTTCAACAGATTTTACATCACTTTCCTCACAGACCTTGGGCTGCAGGACCTTGTAAACTCCCCCACCAGATTTGAAACAACTATAGACCTTATAGTTGTTAACAACGCAAAGCTGTTTTTGTATGCAACGAGGCACCGATTGTCACTTCTGATCACACAAATATCAAATTATCTCCTATCGTGTACAGCAAAGTAAATCATAGAGATGTTACTCGTTGTAGAGATCGCAGGCTTAAAAGAAGGCATTGTTTACCTGAGAACATATATCGGCTCCAGCAAATTATTCCATCCACAGATTTTAGTATGTCTTTTTTGACAACAATGTATTTAAATACTGTGACCAGTTAACGAGCTGCGTCAATTTCTACATTGTTATCCGCTGTCCACTTCAGACCATTTTCATCCGTTCGGATCGGTTTTCATCCCCATAGCTAAAACGTAGACTTACAGAGAAAGCGTTCAAAACGAAAGACCATGCTGCGATGAAATCTTTTTCTATTTCTATCAAAACTGACTTGTTCCATCTAAACCACCTATATGTCCAAATCATACTGAGAAATAGTAGCTGCCGGGATGTCGGGCGTATGCTGAAGCAACTTAGTGGAGTCTTGAACCGAGTGTCAAATCCAGATGTAGACCTGCAAGACCTTGACCGAAACTTCCGTTGCTTCAATGCTACTTCCATGTCTCACCTTTCATCCCCACGATTGGATCGGTCTACAACCTCTTTTCCTGCCACTGACAGAAATACAGTGCGCAGTAAATTACTACAGCTAAACTCCAACAAACCTACTGGTCCGGACGGACTATCATCCCCTTGTCCACAAAGTGCGTGCCGATTCCTTGACCCAACCTCTTGCTGACCTACACACGTTGTGCATGAAAGGGTGTAATATTGCGGACTGCTGAAGAAGTGCCAGAATTACACCAGCGCCAAAGAAAGACTCAGATAAATACCGACTAATTACATGCACCTCGGTAAACTTGAAGAAATTCTAGAAGATTATTCTTGAAAAGTTACTGAATTAGACTCATTCAGTTGATTCGTTACAGTTTGCTTATCGTAGTTTGAGGTCTACTCAAGACGCATTTGTCTATCTTGTACCTACAGTGCTATCGTCATTAGACAACTAGGTCAAATCCGTACGCATGTATTTTCTCGATTACAGTAGTGCTTTCGGCATTGGGAACCGTGAGCTACTTTTTGTGAGATCTGCACGATGCCGTTTGAGATCCTCCTCTGTCTCCTGCCACTTAATCCCGAGATCTATCACCGCATGTCTCTTACCTCTTTGAACCTATTGCTGCACTGTGATATTTTCTGGTTTCCTAAGAAAGCACTTCAAAATCCGAGCTAGGTCATTTACGCGATTATCTCGGTGTGGTGGAATTCCCAAGCCGACCTTTGTTGAGATTCTTGTGTCCACTCAGAGCAACTCATGCATAGGTCTTTCTTTGAGAATACTTACTGATATAAGTTACCCTCTTCATGATGCACTTTCCGGGTGTATATCAACCTCCTCTATCAGATATAAGTATAGACCCAATTTTGCCCCCACAAGAGCTTACCATTCATCCGTTATTCCATTGGCACGTTTTTTATGCGACCAGACATCAGTTGTCCTGGAGCTTAAAAACGACTTTGCATAGTAACCATACTACTTTCCCTGCCACTTTTTACTCTACTTGTGTATTTACCGCTTTATATTTTTCACTGTGCTGAAAGCGTGTGTGTAACAGCTGAATATTCACCCTTATGGGTGCGTAAAGCACTTTCTTAACTTGTAATTGAGTCTAGTCAAAATAGGCTAGCTCTCATTACCACTATCTTGTCTTTCGGTTACTTGCTGTGATCTTTACCAAAAGGAATACATATGTACATCTATTAGTCGAATACACTGACTGAAGTTGATCCCACAAGGTTTCTTTCTCAGTACTTAGTACATTATCTATTCATTTATTCCTGGTGCGAAAGCTGTCGGACGTTGTTGACTGTTGTGAGCGTTCGCATTTATTTTCGAGAGTTACCCCCATCTCTCTCTGTAAAAACATTGTATTTGAATCAATACATAGAGTCACCTCCTTATCTTCCAACTGATGCTTGTGTGCCTTTGTTGTGAATGTGCAGGCCTGGCATCCAAATTTCCTATATTTTATTCCCATCCATTTTTTAGCGCATTCGTCCATAGATGTGGACGTACGGCACGCTGCGGATCTTCTGGGAGCGCTCTGTTGTTCTTGACCCCAGAGGAATCTGCTTACGTCGACTTCCTTAGGATTAATCAAAAGGTATGTACTATAACACCACACGAAATACCACCGTTTTAAAGAGCTACATAATTCATGGAGACAAAGCTAAGACACGCCGTCAAACAATCTAACAAAGATACTACGTTGTAGCGTTTCATACCATAGTGTACTTATGTGCTACGAGTAAAAAAGAAAGTCTTATCAGCCCGGTAAGATGGCGAGAATGAGAATCATAGAATAGAAAAAGAGAACACGATGATAAAATAAACAGCGTTTTCGTGGGCTCACCATATTGTTTACATTGAGGCATACTTAAAAGAGCCTACCTCGATCGTTAAGGGAAATGTTGGTTGGTGCACTGTTTCTCATGTTATATGGTCTTTCGACTTGCACTGGCTATGTTTCGTTATGTGGAGTGGGTCTGAAAAACGTCTTTTTTGTGCGCAGTTAACGAGGGGGGATCGAGCAACGTGATTGGGGATAACGTTCCACGACTGACACACAAGAGAGAGTAAAACGTGTGACCTTCTAGCCGCTGTATTGCATCGGCAACTTGAACTGGTCGTCTCTCAAACTGGTGTTGTGACCAAGTTGCAGTAATTGACAACAGACGTGATTATTAGGTCATTCCGTAGGTACCGATATTGTCCAGTGTACCCTCTTTTGCTTCTCTGCCTACGTTGATATAGCAACTGAAACAATCTTTTGATGTGCTTGGTGGTTCTTCGCTGTAGGGTCTCTAGCACGGCGAGATCTTGCTTGTGCGAATGTGGCGGATTCCGCATGAGCTCACACATATGTATCAAGCATCTGCGAGCAGACAGGTGGATCAAGTCGCCCGCAGGTTCTACGCAGAACACCAACGTGCCTGTCCCCAGTCTTTGGTGTCCTCTCAGGTTGTTTTGCGCAACCGAGGTCCGCCTGGATTAGTACCTCCAAGATCGTACTCTTAGATAACTGCTTGTGGGACGTGGTCTCCAAGCCTGTATATGCTGTTCGGCTGGTGACGAGCATGGGCCACCTTATATTTGGACGAAGTAAACTAGAGCTAATTGTGCAATGCCTATTTATACTCGCTGTTCAGGTCCCGTTGAAGTCAGTTATGAACTTATTGGTCGGGGATCCCCGCCACATAGCATCTTCAGCGAAAAGCAAGAAATCCGAGGCGATCAGACGCGTACGCTCGTTAATGAACACGATAAATAGACCCGGCCTCAGCACTGATTCTTGTGTAACTCCTTACCAGACATGAATCGGAACGGACACAATTATCCGCACCCTGAATTGCTGTCGCCTCTGTTGCATGAGATTATCGATCTTTCCGAGGACAGGCTCACCTACTCCGTAGGTTTTCAGCCTATGTAGCAAAATGCGGTGGTCCAGGCGGTAGAAGACCTTGGTGTGATCGAGGTAAATGACATCGATCCCTGTCCTTTTGTCGACCGCTTCTGTCTAACTACTGCGTGCAATCATTCGGCTGGTTGTGGATGATCAGTGCTGACAGAAACCGTGCTACTCCCGTGATATGGTGTTCCAGCATTCTGGATGGTCTATTTAAGTCCCATCACTGGTTGCTTCCATCACCTTTGAGAATACGAGGAGGAAGACCACTGAGTGGGACTTTGTGGGTTTCAAATTATTGTCCTTTTTTAGATCAGCGTGCTGAGACTATGTTTCCACTTGGCAATCACCATTTGTTTCTCTAAACACGTTTGGAAGAAATATGGCAATGGCTCGGTCACCGTTATTACTGCTATGTTCAGCGCCTCGGGTGAATCCCATCGATACTAAGAAAGTCGTAGGTGCACAGTGAGAGCAGTTTCCTCAATACCTTTGTGATGGCAAAGGTGATATGAGTATATCTTGAAATCTGGGATGATGGGTGCGGACATCTAACACTAGCAGACGTGTCGTTAAAAGGTCAGGGCCTACTGCATCCGTAGACCATTGGTTACTTCTTCATCGATCTGTGCCACTACGACTGTAGTGTTTAGTGGGGGATACCGTGCTTCACTTTGTAATTGATGTCGCTTCAAATGCCAGTAAAGCCGGTGTGGGCATTGCCCCGTACTCCCGGCCCTGCGGCTACTATGTGAGCGCTCCTGTGTTGCAGAAAAGTACGGACACTGTAATGCTGGCTGGGGACCTGAAAACTCAAGTTGGAAAACTGTCCACTGTTGATTGGCATTTGAGTGGCCAATACGATGTAGGCTCCCGTAATGATAACCGTGAACGATTGCTACACTGTGAAGATGCTCGTCTATTTCTCGCGAGCACTAGCTTTCAACACATTACCTGCCGAAAAGTAACGTAGTGCCCACCAACCTTGGACCAATTATGGAACCAGATCGATCACATTGTGATCAGTTACTGCTGGAGATGATGCATTCAAAGCTGTCGCTTAATTCGGCGCGTAAGCATTAACCCCGATAACGCACTCGTATATGCCGATCCCTGAGTTCGCCTCGGCGGATGCTCGCGACATCACTGTGAGCGCGTAGACATCCACCAAGCGACGAGGCCAGGTGTTCTGACTGCATATCAAACTACACTGGCCTGTGGGTGAGTCAATGTTTGTTACATACATTTGAGGCTCGCTGATCGCATACCCACCAGACGTTGTTAGCAGCAGTCATGTCTTTATGTTACAAATCAGATTGCCAGTCGGAACATTGGGTCTCTACGCAGTATCTGAAACTTCTGGGTGCTCGTCGACATATTCTGCCTGGAAGCGAATACAACGTGACTCGCAAAATCTTCAGAGCAAAACGGTACTAACCTGAGGAGGGACCGCGAAGTTTGGTGGTCTAATCGTGCGTCGAAACTGGAAACGACTCCGGCTTGTAGCATCGGATTCACGACTCCATGTTACTTGGACCTCCACTGATCTGAGTTGTAGGGCCCCAGTGGTTTTTCGAAAAGTCGAGTTTGATGCCCACTCCCACTCTGCCTGTGTTTTTGTATTCATTGTTCTATCAACATCACCATGCTCTGAAAATATGTCCACCTGGTTCGGACTCGATCTACCTGATACAGAGCTAACCAATGACGTTAGCTCATTTCTGCAGGTGTTCTCATTTTAGCCCCTCAACTACCTTTGGCTGCAAATTGGTTTCTGTGCGTCCACCTTGAGTCCCTCTACTCGTTTTATCCCTCTAATGTACGCCAACCACTTTAGTTTCTATGATCTAAACAAATTTGTCGATATATCTCAGTTTATTTATGAGTTACGATTAGCCACCTACTGCGTTCACATATGACGGTAGTTCCGTGCAGTATTCGCTGTTTCTCGTCGTTCTGCGGTTGGTTTGTTGGCTCCGTTCAACTTGCTTTATCGCCTGCTTCATCATTTACAGTATGGCACGTCTACATAATTGTGCGCGTTTTTTTCCATTTCCTTAGTTGCCTTTCTCCTATTCTTTTAAGGTTCATTTAACGGAACTCAATGAAGATGACTTTGATCGCTTGTGCACAGAGGCTAGTCGAATGTACACACCGGAACTGCTCTTGGATAAGCTCCGTCAGTGTTGCATACGTGACAAGTGCGTAGTGCCTCACTTTCTTGCCAATGCGCCGACTCTTTCCCTGACACCTTTTAATCTTGTTTCTTCCTTCCCCGTCCTCTAGGTTATTGTACGAGAAGAGCATTCGTGCATTCGTGTCCTATATCCAATTCTACAGGAAACATGAGTGCCATCTGTTGCTTAATTTTAAAGGTGAGCAGGTTCTGATTTCCTTCTAGGTGTTTATTGCTGGATAGTACTTCTCTTCTGCGATCTCCTGTTTGTTGTTCGCCAGCTGTTCCATAGCGTTCCCTTAATTCTCTTTCTATTGTTGTATCTGCACCATACCTTCATTTAGTAGCGAACACCGGAACAGCCTTGGAACAATGCTCTTTACAGTGTGTACTTGCAAACTCCTGATAAGTCCTATATAACCGATCAAACTAAGATCTTACCACTTGTTGCGATTTCAAACTAAGCAGTTAGCTGCTCCACAGGACCTCTGGCACAGCCGAAGAAAAAATTAAAAGGCAAATGACCTCGGCAAAATAATGCGTTAGCCGCTGCCATAAAGCAACGTTCAAGCAAAACAGATATAGGTCGTATTCATAGGTCACCTAGTGATCTTCGATTTACGGAATAGGAAGGTCAGTCAGCAAAAATAGCAGTGCGGACCTTCAAGAAGATGGTAGTCATGTGTAAGTCTTGGAACATTCGATGTGATAATCTGTAACATTCGATCACTCGCTGAAATAATGCCTTTTCTGAAAATTTCTTACCCTATTCCGAAGACTATACTATGTATAGCAAATGTATGTGAAGTAAAACGCATATTGCTGAACTCACCGACAGGTGCGCAGTAGCCCATATGTAAACACGTGCCTCGATCTTGTGGGGGTGTGGTGTTTACTGCGTTTATTTCGCATTTATGTCTTCACCCCTGCCCCATGCTGAGGCTGATGTTGCATCCATGATGCTTCTGCACCGCAGTTGGGCTAAACCAACTTACACTTAATCTAGGTCTCTTTTTAAGCTGGATAAATTTCATTCCACTTCATTTGATTTGTTCTGCCTACCGGAATAATCTTCTATCCAATTTCCACGTTGCTTACGGAAATCGTGCTTATCTTCGTTATCCTTATTGCGTTTGTAGCATTTTATGACTCACTTCTGGACATTGTTTTTACCTATCACGGATTCGTTGCTGACCAACTTGCTTCATATGCTAATTTAGGGAAGAATTATGTCTGCATAGTCGTATTCTTGAACAGATATATTTTATTTGTTACTGTTATTTCAAGTGATTGGCTGTTGTTTGATCCCCGGTGTGGCTGCGTTTGATGTGCTTGTTGACAAGGTGTCTACCTGTCTATTACCCACTACCTCGTCCATACTGTCTCTGGGTGATAGTTGGTCATTGCTGGAGGGGACAGGGTCCACGGTCCTTATGGTCGTGCTAGGCTCGAAGAGTGGTTCCATGCACTCAGTGTGTAGCGGACTACGGTCCAGCCACCGCCTTGTGTGCGCTTGATTCCTCAAATACACCGTGCTTGTGCTTTCCTGTGAAGGAGTGTGAGCCGGCTCCGTTGGTGAAATGTGGCTCCCATCAACATGCTTCCCGGTCTTATTCCTTCGGGTTTATACTGGAGATGGGGTATGTGGTTGGAGCTGTGAGTGGTGCAGCGCAAGCCACCCATGGTCCCTCTGTAGGCGCAGGCGTTCTGTGGCTGGCCACAGTGACAGGCAAATCCGAAACTGGATGCCGCCAACCATGTCCTCACCCTCTGGGCACTCGCTATGTCACGCAATGTTGATGTGTTAGTACGTTGTCAACTTGCCTTTTGACTAGCGATGTGATTGGATGCAAACTTAACGTGAGTAGTTAGAGGGAAGCAGATAACATTCTTCCATATCCCATCCTACTTCATCAGAGCAGAAAAAGACAGACTGCGTTATTGCAACATTTCGACTGTTTTTCTCAGTCGCAAATGCGATACAAGTGGAACAGATGCACCGAAGTATATATGGAACATTTGGCAATACCGATCAACTTGTCCCAGTTGTAAGCGACAGATTCGCTTGGGGTTTGGTCAACTCGTAATACTCCTGGACCAAGTCAAAACAAAGCCGGAAGTTAACTACCATTTGCTCCAGCATCAGGCGATTATCTCCTTTACTGTACCTGTTAAGTTCTGGAACAACCGAGTCTTTCCAAAGCATACAAGGAATGCAAGTCATCGTACTTGTCACCGCATAGTAAGATCACTGTCGGAATTCCACGGTCACACAACCCTGTCCAATTTGTTCACAGTGCAGCGCATAGAGGGATCAGTGCGGTGGCTCCTTGGGGTAACTTCATGGGGGTGAGAGTAATGTGTCTCGAGGTGACTGTGGGATGAAGGGAACAACAAGGGCGCATGCACCTTGGTGGCTGGGGAACGAATCAATCTCGGCGTATGTGTGTGATCACTGGGGCAAGTGTGCGCCGTTTCCAGCATGTGGTCTGACCTCTGCACAAGTTGCACTATATATATATATATATATATATATATATATATATATATATATATATATTCACAGTCTGTTAACAGACATTGTGCCATCAGAACCATGGCAGAAGAAAAAGGTGAAGAAGTTGGGGACACTAATGCGATTAAAAAATATGGGAAACGAATTTTTTTGGTTTTACACACGCCATTTTGTATTTTTTGTTTTGTGAGTTTTTGTGTGTATCAAAGGGATGGTGAAATTGCGGAACAACATTGCCGCCACTGATGTCTGTTGCAGGCCATGATGTCCAATGTTTCCAACCACTGCAATTCAGCATCTCGTGGTCCCCAACCTGGAAGGCGGACTGGTCCGACTGCTGCCAAACTTGAGGTCGCCTTCTTCATACTCCTTCTCCACGTCATCGGCTGTCCACCGCGGCACTTTTTCCAATCGCTCCCTGGGAGTGCAAATAGCGCTCGACGTGGAAGGCGATGGGCTGGCATGCGCAGAACATGCCCGAGCCAGCGCATGCGATGTCGGAGAATAACGTCTTGAAGACTGGCACTATTCGCCCCAAGCACGCGGTCTCTCACCTCTGCGTTGCTTACGTGGTGTTGCCACCACACCCCACAAGTTGCACTGTGTAAGAGCGAGCATTTGTAACAGGAGAGATTGGAATGAATCCACGGGACATCGGGTGGGGGAAACACAGGGGGTAAGGCAAACACCTGGTAGGCCGAAATGTAGCGGCTGGCGCAGGTGTCAGACAGAATGCGTTCCCGATATCCAGCTTGTGAATTGCATGCTGATTTTACTGCTAACACTCTGCCCCAAATCCAAACGATTTTCTTCGCATTGAGTATCCATCGTCTTCTCTGCTTTGCCATAACTCCGCTCCATCCGCTATGGGAGAATACAGAACTTTCGACGGTCCACCTACACCCTCCCTCTTAAGCCTGTTGGATTTGCAGTGGTCGTCCTTGGAGCAACAGGTCCGAAGAACCACCTCCCACTTGCAGAGTCAACAACCGGAACTGCCACCTCCTTCTGGTTCTCCGCTGCCGTCTTTAAAATGCTGCCAGCACCAAATTATCCTGAACAAAGATACCGCATCGATCTCTTTTGAAGAGAAATTTAGGATATCTTACTACTCCAAACGATTTAAGTCCCTTGATCCACCTGTGCCAAGTCTTCTCGATTTTACCAGGTACATCATCTACCAGTTTAATCGACATTATTTCCTTTTTTACCGAGTTCATAAAAGCTAGTAACCTAGACGGTTACTCAGCTCCAAAGGACAACACCTTTGCTGCAGTATTTGAGCAATACCTAAACTCATTTACCAAACCATCGGAGTCCAGCGGACCATCTCCGAGCGGTGCGATAACACAAGTCATTGAATCAATATTAGGTTCGTTTTTAACGCGCTCGGATGATACCAGAGCTATGGTCTGGTGCGCGCCGTCGCTGACAAAGCAGGTTACCAGATAACCTCAGAACTCGCAAGGCCTCTGGATTCCTACAGAGGCGATTATCTTCTGGCGTGTCAAGCTCATTAAAGATGTTTGTGACGTCAGTATCAACTAATTGATCCAGTAACTTTATAACAAGCCGCGGAGCACATTACTCCACTTCCGGTTCCTCTTGTATGTTTGGTACTGCGCTACTAAAGCTGTGATCATTGGACTTTTCCATGTCCGATTGACTGACAGACAACAAACGTTAGTGTATCAGCGATCAGGGAGCTTTGTTCCGCATCAGTACACGATGCAATGTCATAACAATCGGTGGTGTCTACTTGTTGCTACAAATTTTACTTCCTCTGCTTCACTTATCACCAGGTTCCACCTCCTGATAACAACCACTAGCTACCAAGGAACCATTACTATAGGACAAATTCAAAGAACCCCAGATTCTGATTGAGACGAATCTGTGGGAGACGCGTCAGCAGAACTTCCGAAATACTTAATAATTTCTACATTTGGCAGCAAAGTCATGCAGGATGTGTGTCCATGATTGTGAGCATCATCCTGAAGATCTCTGAAACCGCTATGAGCTGCAACGCATGTGCTGACCACTACTACTAGAGGGGAATCATATGATACTGTTCCCCTTGGTGAAGAACTGTGAAAGCTCACCAACCACTCCAGTCGTTCACAATGCATATTGCGAACTCGAGTAATCTCATCATTGACTCCTCAACGTCAACAACTAACTGTTGGTGCAACTTAGCCAATTTCAATTCAACTGCCGTTTGCTCCTTCTTAAGTTCTGCAGATCTGAAGGCGGCATCCGCACTGTGTGAACACGCTATCCGCCTACTCTTAATGGTAACATGCATCCCAGAGCAAGAAAAATCGACAGGAGGAAGCCGTTTGACTTTCTTTCTTCGCTCCAACAACGTTCTCGGATGCTTTTTTCCAGTTGAAATAGTTCAGCTAGGCGATCGATTGCGTCCGGTTCATTCGGCAATCCGAAGACAAGAAGTGAGCCCTGAGCACAAACCCTCGAGCACGGGAAACTTGTAACTTCGAAGAAAAATTGCATTCCAAATCCAATCCAAAAACACAAATATTGAGTACTTGTACTCCACGGTCACCCAAACCAGGAGACGATTGTTGAGCACTGTAAGCGACATATTCGCTTGGGGCTCAAGCAACTCGTAGCTAACTTTCACACTTTTTGTTTGACCTGGGAGTATTACGAGTTGCACGAGCGAATCT